TAATCAAGAGCGTTGCTTTCATTCAGCACAGCCATGTTTCGGATGCTCTCCTAGTATGCAAGTGGTGCGCCACTTTCTGAAAATCGCCTTGACTCCTGCGCGCCCGACGGCTGCTCTCAGTGTGCTCCGGGCTGGCAGCAGCTCGCAGGAGCACCAGCCATTCTGGCAGGGGGGAGTGAAAGTAGGCTGGTGCCCTGCTGGCAAGTGCGGTCGTTTAACACGACCCGTGGATGACGACGACTTTTTCCCCCCCGAGTCGCGGTGCAGAAAGCAAGGGTTAAAGTGAAAGACTGCCTCTCCCCTTGCAACGTGCTGGAGGGAGAAGGGCTCACCGGGGGTTGCAGGAGGGAGCTGCTCTCCGCCAGTCGCTGCTGCCCGTTGCTGCGGCGTTGTAGATCAGGCTCTCTGGGCTGCTGCTTTCTTCCACCAGACATCCCATCCCGGACGATTTCTGCCAAACCCACGGCAGTTGTGCAGACGGGGCATCCTCCCATGTGTGCCTCGTTTGCCCTGGCGATTGCATGCAAGCTGAGAGGCAGAGCTTAGCCATCCCCTCGGCTTACGTCTCCTTCGCACGGGCGAAAGGCGCGAGCAGGGGAGGCGAGCGGCCGCCCGGCTCTCGGGAAGTGGAAGTGCCTGCGGAGGGGCCGGAGCGCCGCCGCCCTGCTCGCACTTGGGGAGAGGGAGGTGAAAGAGCCGAGCTGCTCAGAGCTGAGGCCATGCAACTGGGTTTGACATCTCCCCACCGCTAGCGGCAACAGCTGCTCTCTGAGCCCCCTTCCAAAGTCAGCTGCTGTGGTTAGGAGAAGCAAGGAGAGCAAAGCCGAGGCAGGTAGATCCTAAAACATTTTCCACTACAGAAAGTGGCAAAAGGGATCGGGGAGGGGAGGGGAGGTGGGGTGGGGACGAGGGGAGAGACATGCCTCGTGCTTTTATCTCTTGCCACACTTGTAATCAAGGAGAAGGAACTAAATGATGCTGCCGCCTTGCCTTTAAAAAGCTGGGGGAAGCATGAGACTGGGGGGGGAGGAGGTGGAGGCTGGGGTGTCTCAGTTCTGATATGTTTTGAATAACTTCTGGAAACACATCGCCTCAGCTGGCCCGTGGTTTGGCCGCATCGCTGCTGCTGCGGACAGTGGCAGTGCTTGGAAAGTGGGGCTCCCGCGTGTGCAGAGCAAACCGGGCACCACTCCCCCCGCCTTTGCTCCGGCCAGGCAGCCTGAGCCTTCCGGGGGAAGAATCAATAACAGCACTAACAAGACGGAATTAAAACAATGAGAATACGAAATCAAAATGATAAGGAATCAAATAATGACAAGGAATTAAAGTACGAGTGACAATAACAAGGGATTAAAAGAATGGGCTAAATAATAAGGAATTGAAATAATAATGATGATGATGATGATGATAATAAGGAATTAAAGTAATGAGTTAAATACTAATAAGAAATTATCATAATGATGATGACAAGGAATTAAAATAATAAGAACAATAACAATGCGGAATTAATAATAATAGTGATGATGACAAGGAATTACAATAATAACAATAACCATAAGGAAGAAGAATAGTGATAATAATGATGTTGGTGGTGATAAGGAATAAAAATAATAGCAACAGCCATAAGGAATTATAATAATAGTAATAATAATGATGATGGTGATAAGGAATTAAAATAATAGCAATAGCCATAAGAAATTATAATAATAATAGTGATAATAATAATAGTGATTATAATGGTGGTGGTGATGATAAGGAATTAAAATAATAGTAATAGCCATAAGGAATTATGTTAATAATAGTGATAATAATGATGATGGTGATGGTGATAAGGAATTAAAATAATAGCAATAGCCATAAGGAATTATGTTAATAATAGTGATAATAACGATGATGGTGATGATGATAAGGAATTAAAATAATAGCACTAGCCATAAGGAATTATAATAATAATAATAATGGTGATAATACTAATGATGATGCCAATAAGGAATTACACTAATAGCAATAACCAAAGGGAACGCTGCTAATAATGATGATGATGATGATGAGTTAAAGTAGTGAAATAAGTCTTTAAAGAGCAAAGGACGGGGTTGGGTAGGGTCTCTTTCCTCCCCAGGCCCGCCCCGTCGGGGCAGCTGCCCGGTGCGGCGGCGGGTGGGACGGGGAAGCCTCCCCGGAAAGGAGCGCTCAGGTAGAAGGTGCTGGAGGAGCCGGCCCGGCTCCTGGGCGCGCGGCGGAGCGGCCGCCCCCTCCCTGCGTGCGGGCCCGCGGGGAGCAGGAGCGAGGATCCTGGGCTCTGGCCCATTGCCGCCTTGCCTCCGTCCTGCCCGCGCGAAGCGGCTGTCTCCGGCGGTCCCGGGGCAAACTTGGCTGCGCGCGCGGTCCGCCGTCGGCCGGCTGCTGGCGGGAGGGCG